AGGCACGGGGGTGTAGAAGGCCCCCGCACCACCCCCCTCCTGCCCCGATCCCGACCGTTCCGGCCTCCACGTGGGCGGAAACCACCTGAACGGCCGTTCACAGATTTTGGCCCCCGTGACCGGCCGGTCACGTTCACGGGACCGGCACTGGTTGTGGGGTCTTTCTTGCATAGGGCTAAACGTCTCACCTCTATGCCGGCCTGTTTTCACTGAAGGTTGAATTGAGACTGAGGGGATTCAGAGATGAAATTTTTGATAGCGTCCTTGTGAATTTCTCCTCCAAGTTCGGTGGAGTATGGGATGATTGGGTTGCTATTTTGACCGGGTGGGACAGATTCCCCCCTGGTGTGACTGGAACTTTGGGGCCCATGGGCCCGTGCAGATTGGGGGCCGGGTCCCTTGCAGATTGGGGGCCGGGTCCCTTGCAGATTGGGGGCCTATGAGTGAGAGGTCCTATTGACAAGGATAACTGTTTTTGAATGCAGATTAGGGGCCCAGGAGTGGAGGGCTTCTTGAATTAATGTCTGAGTTTGGTCTGAATGCTCCAGGCATGTTTCCATGAATGTCCACAGAGGCGGTCCGGAGGTGGGGGCCTCCGCCGGGGTACCGCTCATAGGACCGTGCAGATAGGGGTTACCTGTCTGCTGGATAGTTGAGTGTTTTTTTGGGCTCAAGGGCCGTTGCAGATTGGGGGCCTATGAGTGAGAGGTCCTTCTGATAAGGATAGGTGTTTCCGACCCAAGGGCCTATGTAGATTAGGGGCCCAGGAGGCTTCTAGGCCTGTTTCGATGAGTGTCCGCAGAGACGGTTCGGGGGCAGAGACCTCTGTTGGGGTATTATGTTTTGGCTGTTGCTGAACGATATGAGGATTTTGGATCGGAGGCTTCTGGAACCTTCTTGTTTAGGCCAAACTTGTGTCTTGATCCTGGTCTATGTCTTTATATTACGTTAGCATTCCGTCAGTAGTCACTCATCGTGATATAGACCCCTGAAGAGTTCCGGTTACGGCGACCGGACGAAACATGTCGGGTCACCCGCCGTTTTAGCTTGGTCCTAGGTATTGACGATAGGAGTATGACGCTCACCTACATTTCCAAGCTTTGGGCTGTGATTTCAAGATAAATTTTGAAGCCCTTGTCACGTTCGGGAGATGCTGATGTGTCGCAGTGTGTTTCTTTTCTCTTCTTCTTCTCTCTTCTTCTTCTCTCTTCTTCTTCTTCTCTCATCCCTTCTATGGTGATGGTTGCTGTCTTCTATTGGTCTATGCATGATGTTTTAGGTCTCTTTGGACCGATGTCTCCTTTGGATTGACTTGTTAATGATGACACTTATGAGTGATTGTGCAGTTTGTGCTTGCGAAAACTGACTCAAATTTTGGGATTTAGGGTCTTTTGGTCCTGGTGTGAGTATGGGCTTCGCTCTACACCACTTGAAAATACTTGAGTTTCAAGGGCATCCCAACTCACGGAAGGTGATTAATTTCCTCTAACTTGTTTTTTCGTTCCACAACCCCTTGACGAAACCCTTGAGACGGTTGTCCTCGAAACTGAAGTGCTGACGGCATTGCATCAGGAACAGTGGTGATTGGTGGAGAAAAAAAGGAAAAAAGAAAGAGGTCCGTATATTCCCTGTTTTGAAGGGTGAAACCCTTGCGCCCCAAGTGACCTCCCGAGGCAGCCCTGGGATTTTCGTCGATTTGCCTGGGCCGCACTTCCGTTTCAAGGGCGGACACTTGGCCGCGGGGATGTGGAAACAATTAGCGACTTCAAGGGTGCATGATTAGGGCGGGGTAGAATGACGCTTCCTTGAAAAACAGCAATTTCCAAGTGGTGAATTTCCAAGTGGTGTTGAACGAGGCCCTATGCCCTCACTGAGAGAACTTTGACAGAAAGACGAACACATGTCAGATGCAGAAAAAAGAACGAGAAAAAAAAAAAAGCCAACCAAAAAAAAAAAAAGCCAACCAAGCATTGGCCGTGAAAGTGGTTGGATTCATTTAACAGCGCTAGGGTGAGTATGCCCGCAGAGAGGGTGTTTTGAGCACGAGGTATGTGTGCTGCCTTGCTGGCAGCTAAAGGAAGAAAAGAACAAAAGGAGAAAAAGAAAAGAGAAAACTAGGGCGCTGCCAAGGTTACAGCTTCAAAATACATTTCAAAGGGCCTCGCCACACCTATCCCGAAAACCCAAAAAAGTTCGGGAGCACTCCCGAATGCGGGAGATGTGAAAAAACCTTTCGAGAGGGCTCGTCGCCACACTGCGCTCTCCAAAGCGGCAGTCTCCAATTCGTCAGACGAGGCCCGACATTTTTTTGGAGAGCGCAGATAGCCACACCACTCTCGAAATGTGCAAAATGAGAATGAACTTCCCGCTAGAACATGGCCAGATGCACCCGCCAAATTTTTGTCTTTTTTCACATGTCGAGAGTGTTGTGGAGAACCCAGACAAAACGGTGGCAACAGATGGTTGTCGGTCAAGGCGCACTCTCCAGTTTGGGGCCGAAATCGGAGGAGTCTCGGACCACTCCTCAAATCCTGTGCTTTGCAGGCGGGGCTATCCACAAAGTTCAAGAGCACTCTCGAGAACCGCATTCTGACGGCTCTCCAAATTCTTTATGCCTGCGATTTTTGGGAGTTGGTGTGGCAATGCCACTTCTCTCCAAATCGCTGTTTTGGAGATAGGTGTGGCGAGGCCCAAACTGCCGTTTTGGAGTCCAGTTCCCTCTCAAGTTTACACTGCAGTCCAAACTCCGCCGTGGTGGCTGTTGCAGGCCAGAGTTTGTAACTGCAGTCTAGTCATACACGTGGGAGGGCCAGGCCGTTTTCCGAAAAAAAAAAGAAGAAACAAGAAGAAAAAAAAAAAAAGATAGTGGCCCTGTATCT